TTACAAATAAATCTATAATTTTTATTTCTAAAAGTTGTTCATTCATCGTCGAAAAATATTAACAATCCACCACTAATTTATATTAAATATAGTGTAAACAATAAATATGATACTTTCCTTTTCCTTTTATTTCTATCCTTATATTTTTTTTAGAATTGGGAGGAAATAATCCCACAACCTCTACTTTTAGAGGTTTTTAAATATTTTCTCCTGAAACACTTAATTTTGTATGTTTTTTGTTATATTTCATAAATAAATAATTTTTACTTTACTTTTTACTTACATTAACCTCTTAACACCCCTTCCCCCCTACCATTCCCCCCTACCACCTAAACAAACGTCTTAACCTCCCCCCCACCTCTAAACTAACCTCTTATGCCTCTAACAGTAAAAACAAATAATTAAACAAGGAAAATTCCAAAAAACACAATTCCATTTTGTTACAGGGCCGGGGTACCTTTAAAGGAAGAAAGGTCAGAGACGACTATACGAAATATTATCAGTCTGTGATCTTAAATTCTAGATTTCCCTTTACTGTGCACAGTTTCTTTCTTTGCAAAATCATGTATTTAACCCTAACCCTGATGTGGTACGTGAAAATCAGGATTCGATAACGGAAGTTATTAATAATTAACGGAAGTTTTTGAAAAAAAGTTAATTATAAACAACAATACTTAACTGAAGTAATTGATAATTAACGGAACTTGATGACAATTCCCGGACTTTATTGTTAATTTACGGAAGTTCTTTAAAATTAATGAAATTTAATGATAATTAGCAGAAGTTGAGGTAAATTAGCAGAATTAAGTTAATGATCATTATCTGAAAATAATTATTATTAACGGAAGTAGGTGATAATTGACAGAAGTTAATAGCAATTGACAGAAGTTAAAGATATTTAAAGGAAGTTCTAGACAATAAATGGAAGTTAATAATAACGAACGGAAATAATTGAAAACAAACGAAAGTTAACGATAGTAAACAGAATATTATGACAATCAATGGAAGTTAATGCTAATTAACGGAAAATTCTTTATCGAACAGAAAGAACCGCTAAAAGGCCTAATCCAACAAGGACTACAATTATATACACAAAACATGACTGTTGATAAACAATTGCGAATGTCGTCTTCCAAATTCTGAATTAGAGATTGAAGGCTTTTTGCAGTTTAATTTATTAAAAACAATCTTTTGCTTGAATATATTTTACTTTGAAATCAATTTTATCATAACATGACTCCCATATAATATTTTTATTATTGTCTTTGGTATCAAACAACTTAAAAAATTATCGAAAAAAGCATTCAAAACTATTCACCAACTGTATGTTTCGCGGGACAACATGTATCTTTTTGATTTACAATCAGAAACCTTTTTCTAGCAGGACTGAGCCAAGGCTAAGGAATAGAAGTTTTGAACAAAATTAACGATTTAATTTTATCGGCCTAGCAGTAACTAATACATAAATTTGACTAATTCAATTCAAATTAATAAAATTTCATTTAGAAAGCGTATATTGAAATAAATTTAGCGAAAGATTTTATAACTGAAAATCACACTCAGAGAATTGGATTGTTTTTTTAGATTTTGATAATAATACTTTATCTTGTTACAGTGGCAACAAAATTTACCATATTATTTTACTTTCAGGGAATATATAAAAAAAGAAGAAAAAATCTGTAAGCTGTATTCCCATTTATACTTCCATTTACTGTTTAAAAATATATAAAAATATACTTGCATCGCTGAAATGTAATTATGATAATAAATAATTGAAATTTTTTTGTCCTTCAAAATCTATTCTTCAGATGCTTTACAGATTTTTTTTAACAAATTAAGGGTTATACTTGAAATTAGATCAATTGTTCCTTTAATGCTATAAGAGCTGTTTTAAACTTAGTTTGTGTTCAAACCTTGAAAGTTGGAACATTTGAAAGTTTAAATTAATTAGGTCGCTGGTACACCAAGCTCAGCAAAATAAGGACATCCAGTCCATGCAAGATTATACTTGTACGACTTTTAAACCTCGTAAATCCTATGGTTATCATCTTAGTTACATTCAATGTAAAAAAAGGAAAATAGAAAATAGAACTCATCAAGAAAAGATTTGATAAGTTTAAACTTATTTTAAATTAGTTTTTAGTTTAGTTTAAACTTATTTGAAATAAACTTTAGTTTAAAGTGAGATGGTTGGGGGGGGAGGGGGATAGTATTACAACCTCCTCTACAGAAATAGGCAAATAGGGTAGATTATATGAAGAGGGAGCCGGTCTGCCTTATCACGTGACTAAATAGCGTACAGGGTGTCTCAATAAACATGGGAACTAGGAGATGACTTGAAAATCGTCTTCGCTTTCCGATAGTTGATACATGACAATTAGAGTGTATAAATATACTTCTGAGCTTTTTAAAACGCCTTCTTTGTATTTTCAAAACTGACCGAGAGTTTAAAAAATTTCGTTTCTATTTCATGAATTCGAATCTGGGCAGATTTCATAATATCTCCGTCAATTTTAAATTTGGTGCATATATAGGGATTTGGGAACCTCAATTTGGAATTCCCAAAACTATTAGTTTTAATTATTTACTGTTTATACTGGAATACTACAAAAATTGTCTTCACGGAACAAAGACGATTTTGAGGTTGACACTTTATTCCAATGTTTTTGGGGAGGCACTGTATGTAGTTGTCAGTTAATTCCCATGTTCTTTGGAACTCTCCGTAGCAGACAAAATGGCGTCATTTTTGTAAAAGGTGAAGATTATTTTTACACTTTTTCCAGAAAATACGTTACAGACCCTTTCTTAATCTATTATTTAAAAGTTTTACGTTGTTCTCTTTGCAACATGATACAAATAATCTAAACCAAAAGTTTTGGTCATTTTCATTTTTATTCAGCAGACTTTCACGAAAGGCGACAATAAAAGCAATTACTTTGGAAAATACTGAAAGAACTAACCTTTTTATATTTTTTCCCCCCAATTTTTATTTAAATCTTTTTTTTTACCATGATGGTGCAAATCTTTTTATTTCAATTAAGTTGCTGTATATACAAAAAATAACTTTAAAATATTGAAAGTTTTTGCAAAAAAAAAAAGTGCATAGGGTATAACGTGCAGGTATTGGATACACCGTAACAGGGGATGGGTGGGAAATTTCAAAATGTTCAGACCCTAAATATATATAGTTGGTCAAAGAATTGTAACTACTGAGGATCGTCATAATTTACGTAAAACATTATGTTTAGTATAATTCTTTTTTAATAAAAAATATGAAGATAAAAACTGAAATATATATATATATATATATATATATATATATATATATATATATATATATATATATATATATATATATATATATAAATATATATATGTATATATTTATAAGAGGAAGGGGGGGGGGGCTTGCCCTAACTTTTTTCGAGCGATATATGATGTTCCAATCAGGGTTGTGACTTTGGAACAAGTTTAAAAAATTTATACACGTTTAAGAACAAGCTATTTGAAAAAGGACATCTGAGATCTGTGTTTTTGAAAGCTGAAAACAATGTTTCTCTAAAATCAAATGATTCCTTATATCGCAAAAACAAGTTTACATGAATCCTTTAAGTTATTATTCCTTATAAATCAAAATTTTGAAGAAAAGATTGAAACATATTTTGCTTGTTTTTAGAATCTAATGAACGTCATAACGGCTGAACCGATCGGACACACTCACATGATCCCAGTGAAGGTATATTGACGTCAAAATACAACATTTTACAGGAATTTATTTTTTATTTTTGAAAATGCGAGACAGAAAAATCTCCGAAATTTGAAAATAATAAAAAATGGTCCCTTTCAGAGTAACAGTTAAAAGCTAAATATTGGGGCGCTAAGCACCATAAAAAGTGAAAACTTCCCATTTCGCATTTACTCCGCTTTGAAATAATCATCATAAGGAAAAGTGCGTCCTAAGGTACCAGAGCTGGAAACTTTAGAATGGATAAACTTTAATCCTGACTTCTTGATCCGAATATCCACTGTGGAAACTTTTCATTTTAGTCCTAATCCACTCTTTTTCTCTCTCCTTAGATATCCGTTAATTGTTTTCTCCAATGAGAATATTTCTGTTCTCTCATTGGTTGCCCGCTTTTCTCTGATCGGCTGTTACAGTTTCTCAAATGATTAAATACTAATTTGAATTTTATCGTTTTTCATACACTTTTAACATAATTTTGCAAGATTATGTTAGTCTGGAGATTATCAAAAAGAGAGGATTAAGCATTAATCCCGATATCCACCATTCTAAAGTTCCCAGCTCGACAGGGCCGTTTTCCTACAACTTCCTATTTAATGAACTCTGGATGGAAATGACCTCGCTGCCTTAGGACTGGACTTTTCCTTCCTTTTTGAGGGATTATATTCTGCTTCAAAGCAGAGTAAATGCGTCATAAGAGAAGTATAACAAGAAGGTTTGGGCTAAACTTCCTATTAGAGGGAGAAATCAAGCTAAACTGTCTTTTTAAATCAGGAGTCTTTACGAGGCATTCCATTGGACAATGGAAATACAGAGTGGCAACTTCTCATATGTTCAATTTCCCTAGCGGCAACTTCCCAAAGATTAGGTTAGGCTGCAACAAGGGCCTAGCGCTGCGTCTGGGATGGGATAGGGGGCCGAGCGCTGCGTCTACGATGGGATAGGGGGCCGAGTGCTGTGTGGCTAGGATGGGATAGGGGGCCGANACTTCCCAAAGATTAGGTTAGGCTGCAACAAGGGCCTAGCGCTGCGTCTGGGATGGGATAGGGGGCCGAGTGCTGCGTCTACGATGGGATAGGGGGCCGAGTGCTGCGGCTAGAACATTCTTGGAAAGTGGCCGCTTCTGACTTTGCACATTTGGTTTGGGAAGTTGTCAATTGTGAAAATACCAATTAGGGATATTGTACTTAACATCCTACAAACCTAGTGGCTAAAAACTTATGCGGTGAATTTTTAGTAATTAAATATATATTTTTACCTGCTACATAGACCCTAGAAGTACAGCTCATAGAACTTTCACCCATTTTATTAGAATTTGATATTTTGAATTTTTAATAATCTTATAACTCGCCCGCCATGTTTTAACACTGTAATAAGGAAATGTAACTGATCAGGGAATATTAATAAAAACATTTTCCCCAGTTAATTTTGTATGTTTTTTGTTATATTTTNCCCCCCGGATAATTTATCTTCCATACTACTCCTTTGCAAAAATTCGACTGATTGAATCTCACCAAACTTGGCAACTTTACAATGCAATAATTTTGCGAAAACTAAGTTCTTGGTTGAAAAATATTTTCTATTTGTTTATAAAATATTAAAACATGAAGAAAACATTAAGGGGACTGTTTAAGTTATAATTTCAAGTGACTATCCTTTAACAGTAACCTTTCATCCATTTCTAAGAATGAGTGAGATATCCATTATTTACTTTAAATATTGGCTATTTTCATTCGTGGTTTATTTTTATCTAAATTAAGCTTGTCTGGGTGTCTGTTTGGGTGTTTGTCTGTATCAAATAAACGTCAAAACGTCTGAACCAATCAGGCCCAAATTTTGTGTGGGACCTCACGTAGCCCCAGGAAAGATTTTTGAATGATCAAAATTTCTAATATTGGTCTCCATCAAAAATCGATTTTCATTAAATTTTTAAAAATTTTAAAAATCCACAAAAATTTTTTTAATCCGCGAACTTCTTTTGTTTTGTTTTACGATGTAAGCCGCGGCTCAGATTCTTTAAATTCGGCCTGGAAATTATGAACAGACTGTCATAAATATCAAACTAATTTTCACATCCCTAACATTATTTTGCGTTATTTCGAAGAAAAATGATTTTAATTTCGAAATGTTACACGTAGTCACTTTTATATACTTTGGATGTGAAACTTAAGAAATTGAGTCGCTGCCACAAAATTAAATATTCTAATTGCTACCTTTGATATTTTAAACTTGGATAATTTTTGGGACATTAGGCTGCTCAGATATAGGGATAAAACAATTAGAGTTCGTGGCAAAGACTCAATTCCTTTACATAAAAAATGTTGTGTTGATATTATTCTGTTTTGAATATTTACTACTACTGGTGTCTGCACTGCGACTGTTATTGTTTTTATTATGTTTATAACCTCAGCTTTAACTTTAATCAAATCAAGGAAATGTATACAGGAATACACTGTTATAAACTCAGCTTTAACATTAATCAAATCAAGGAAATATAACCAGGAATACACTGATATAAACTCAGCTTTAACTTTTATTAAATCAAGGAAATATAACCAGGAATTGCACTGTTATAAACTCAGATTTAACTTTAATCAAATCAAGGATATTTAACCAAGAATACACTGATATAACCTGAGCTTTAACTTTAATCAAATCAAGGAATTATAACCAGGAACACACGGATATAAACTCAGCTTTAACTTTTATTAAATCAAGGAAATATAACCAGGAATTGCACTGTTATAGACTCAGATTTAACTTTAATCAAATCAAGGATATTTAACCAAGAATACACTGATATAACCTGAGCTTTAACTTTAATCAAATCAAGGAAATATANAGGGGGAATAAGGGAAATAAGGACAGGGAATAATTATGAGAACCAGGGGGAATTAAAAAAAATTAGGAATTTAAAAAAGCATTGTCAAATAGGAAAACAAAAAAAAGTATTTTATTTTTGGTCCAAAAGTTTTTCTTTTTTACGGATTCCCTTAAACTTTTATTAAGTTGAGTTTATAGCAAAACCCGCAAACTTAATCAAGTCTAGAGTACTCACTTGACACAGTAGGGTTTCCAGCGAACAAAACTTTCGAAAAAAATCGAAAATTTTCTCTCGCATTTTCAAAAACTTTTCCACGAAATTTCGCGTTTTTTTGCGAAAAAACGAACGGGAAAATGCCAAATTTTCGCGAAACGATTTCCCCATTTCGCAAATTTACAAATACACTGCGAAATTGTTTTTACCCTTCTATCAAAATAATAATTGAACCTTAAAGGGACTGTTAACATGTTTCCAAGTGACCCTCAACTTTTAAAGAGTTCCACTACACACCCGATTTTTACAACCGTCGTTCTGCTTCAGGAGAACATCTAATTGTAAATTATCAGATAGAAAAACTGTGCTACTTTTTTACTGAAAGGTTTAATATGGTCACTTTAAATTACTTTGTCAGTCTCTTTAAACATTTACAAAGTTCAGAACTATATATTCTATATATTCGCATTAATAACATTTTTTGCATAACAAAAGTTTGGTAAAATTATTTTACCTTGGTTGAAAGTTTTGGATTTATTAAAATTGATCCCACTTTCAAATCTAATAGTGGTGTTTTTTCGACCTTCGCAAATCCGCTATACTCCACTTCTGACCCACGCCAAATCCGCTATACTACACATCCGACCTATTAGCACGTGGTTTTATAGCTGCTGTCATGCATGCAGTAATAGCGGGCAAAATAACTGGAACGAATAGACTGACATTTTTTAAGGGAATTGTTGAGTACTTTAGTGGTAACATATAATAAAGAAAAAAAATCTTATTCCAAATTCTGCCTTATTTCTAAATTCGATTAAAAAATTCTTCTGGCAACGCGCGCTGGGCACTTCAGCTAGCATAAAATATGATAATTGTAAGATTGTAGGAGATATGAAAAAAAACTCACTTTGAGCTCTCATTCAAAATAAGAAATGACTCAGAGAAGGTTTTTGGCTGATCAAAATTTCAAAAATTTGCCTGCAACATATTCGATATAATAAAATTTTGAAAATGCAAGAAAGAACTTGTCAAATCATTCGTTGGGATGTTTAGAAAGATGAAAATTTCCCTGTATGATAATTGAAGGACTGCAGTATGGTTTTGGTGAATTATATTCTTTAATAGATTGTGTATTGTGTATTGCATCAACCTACGGAACTGTGCTATATATTCCTTTAATAGATGGTGTATTGTGTATTGCATCAACCNCTGAAACACATTAACTTCAAGGGGTACTTTTGTGTGGAAATTGTGCAATTCTGCTTGTGCGCAAATTTTTTTTGCGTTTTTTGTATATTTCCGCAAAATTCGAGTAACACATTCTGCAGATCCCAAAACTTAAAAAAAGTATTGATTGGAACGGCAAGTTGTTGATATCTGCAGGTTGAGTAAAAAAAAGTGTGATTTGCGGCGCCTAGTGCAAATATGTACCTTTTTTTGCAACTCTCCTGGATGGTGTTTTTCCAATATTTTTTAAAAATTCGTAATGTTTTTGGTACTTCAATGGCTCAAAAAACTCCGCGAACTTTTTTTCTCTCAAAATCAAAAGTTCATAAAAACAAAAATCGCAATTTTCAGTTCTCGTATAATTTTTACGAAAAAGAAGGGAGTCTTACGATCCAATCCTGAGAAATACCACACGGTACATATATTAGGTCTTTAGGGAAATCGCTAAGTAGCGAAACACCAAGAATACACTGATATAACCTGAGCTTTAACTTTAATCAAATCAAGGAAATATGACCAGGAACACGGATATATACTCAGCTTTAACTTTTATTAAATCAAGTAAATATAACCATGAATATACTAAATACTGATATAAAATCAGATTAAACTTTAATCAAATCAAGTAAATATATCCAGGAATACACTGATATAAACTCAGCTTTAACTTTAATCAATTCTAGGAAATATAACCAGGAATACGCTGATATAAACTCAGATTAAAATTTTATTAAATCAAGGAAATATAACCAGGAATACACTGATATTAACTCATCTTTAACTTTAATCAAATCAAGGAAATATAACCAGGAATACACTGATATAAGCTCAGCTTTAACTTTAATCAAATCAAGGAAATATAACCAGGAATACACTGATATAAACTCAGCTTTAAGTTTTATTAAATCAAGGAAATATAACCAGAAATTAGAAACATTAATTTAAAATTTTAATAATAACATCTAATAATCGAAATTGAGAATATTTTATTAGAATTGAATCTAATTTTGCTAAAAGTAAGTTATAAAATATTCCTTTATTTTAACTTTCATACGTCTTCTACCAGTGTAGGCTTGAAAAAGTTTACAAAAGATTATACAAGGCGTAATAAATAACACTGGATGAGCACTGTTTTACCCAACGTGATACCACTGTTTGTAGAACCACGTTTTCCATTTGTGAGATATTTTTTGTTGAAGGTTTGTAAACTGATTTATCAATGAATTTCATCCAATTAATGGGACCGAAACAAATTAACATTTTTAATCGATTCTGAAGAAAGAACAATTTTTCGAGAAAACCTTTTTTCTGCTTATTTTTTTATGTTTAAAGATTATTTATGCATTTGATCCACTACTGTACAACCAAATAGTACAATATTACAATATTTTTTAACTTAAACTATTAACTTAAGGAACTGACTTGAAGAATTTAACGCAGTGCAATGAAAAACAAATCAATGTATTAAATTTTTTTCTACCATGATTTTTAAAAGCGAATTCCTTTTTTATTTCCTTGGTCAAACAAGTCTAATAACAAGTTAACAACAACTTAAATAAATTTACTTTTTAATTCTAATTTTTCTTAAGTTAAACAATTCTTTTTCTCCGACCAACTTTCTTATGAACAAAAAATGCAAACACTTTATTTGCTTTTCATAAAAAAGTAAATTTTTCCTGTTTTTTCCCTTTCCTCTTATTATAATATGATTATCATCATTCTTATTATTATTATTATTTTATCTATATAATAAAACAAGATATTCGTATATATATATATGTTGTCTATAGCCGGCCAAACGGCTGGACCGATTGGGCTGAAATTTTGTGTGGACACTTATGGGTGGCCGGGAGGTGTTTAAGGCTAAAAAAATTCGAATTTAATAAAAAAGATTTTCGAAAAAAATTTTCTTCAATTATTTTCTTTTTCCACGGGCAATGCCGGACCCTTCAACTAGTTATTATTATTATTACTACTTTTAATATTATTACAGTTACAAGTTTTACACTATTATCAACAAAGTACAAAGAAATTGAGTCTTTGCCAAAAACTCTGATTTTCTAATCCCTTTATCTTTGCAACCCAATGACATAGACCTT